TTTCTAGAGTTCCACTGGTGATAGAGGAGGTTTGGAGCAACTATCAGTTCTTAACTTTGAACATATTCTATTTTAGATGTCTATTAGACAAATGAGGTAGAATTTCAACATGTGATTATAATTATGGGAGAAGGGTATGAAATAAAGCTTTATATTTCAGAGGTGTTTTGGTCATAATACTGAATGAAGTTAACAAAGGAATGAATAAAGATGAAAAACATTATTAGGATCCCTCAGTCTGCCCAAGAGACTGCAGAATGAGCAACCATCAGAAAAACTCCCACATGAATACTCACGGTGTACATATCTACAATTGAAGCACAGTTGAAGGGCTGATGTTATAGTTTGCATATGTCCCTCAAAAGTTCATGTGCTGGAAACTTAATTGCCACTGTAACATCATTAAGAGGGGGGCCCTCATGAGTGGATTAATGCCATTATTGTTGGGGTGAGTTACTTCCTAAGAGAGTGGGTTATTATAAAAGTGAGCTCAGCTCAGTCTTGTCTCTTTTACATGAGTTCACTTGCTCTACCATTTTTCTACCATGTTATGATGCAGTACAAAAGCCCACCTCAGAAGCTGCCACCGTGCCTTTGGACTTCCCAGCCTCCAGAACCATGAGCCGAGTAAACTTTTTTCTTTATAAATTACTCAGTCTCTATTCTGTGATAACAACAGGAAATAAACAAAGACAGCTGATTTATCTCTGGAAACTCATATCAGAGCACCACAGTGCACTGCAGATTCAACTTCTCATTTTATTTTTTTCTGTTAATCATTTCTGAGACATAAGGACAAAGTTCCCCACACATCCTGTCTTCTGTAGGAGGGTAGGAAGGGAATTCTGGTTATAAAAAATAGTATGGAGTTTCCTCAAAAAATTAAAAATGGAACTACCATATGATTTAACAATCTTACTACTAGATTTATATGCAAAGGATATGAAGTCAGTACATCAAACAGATATCTGCACTCCCATGTTCATTGCAGCATTAGTCACAATAGCCAAGATATGGTATCAACCTAAATGTTCATCAATGGATGAATGGATTTTTTAAAACGTGGTATATATACACGATGGAATACTATTCAGCCTTACAAAAGAAGAAAATTCCATCATTGGTGACTACATGGATAGACTGGAGAACATTATGTTAAGTGAAATAAGCCAGGCACAGAAAGTCAAATACTGTATGGTCTCACTCATATGTGGAATATTTAGGTACATTTTTATTTATAAAAAAATGTTGAATTCAGGGGCCGGCCCGGTGGCGCACTGCTACAGTGCGCTGCTTGGGAGCGTGGTGTGTGCTCCCGCCAAGGGTTCGGATCCCACATACAGACCGGTTCCCGCTCACTGGCTGAGCGAGGTGTGGGAGCAACACCGAGGGTTGCGATCCCGTGGCCGGTCCCAGTCCGGTACGGGCGCTACACTGAGGGTTGCGATCCGTTGCCAGACACGAAAAAAGACAAAAAAAAAAAAATGTTGAATTCATAGAAACAGAGACTAAAATGGTGGTTACCAGTGGCTGGGGAGTAAGGAGATTGGGAGATGTTTGTCAAAGGACACACAATTTCAATTAGATGGAAGGAATACCTTCAACAGATCTATTGTACATCATGGTGACTATGATGCTCCTCAACTTAACGATGGGGTTACATCTCAATAAATCTATTGCGAGTTAAAAATATTATAAGTCAACAATGCATTGAAAACCTTGATAAACCCAACATAAAGTTGAAAAATTATAACTCGAACTGTCTTAAGATGCTCTTTGGCTCATGATGGGGTATGTACAAATAAACTCATCATAAAATTGAAAAGTCATGTCAAACCATTATAAATCAGAGAGCATCTGTGCAGTTAACAACAATATATTGTATACTTGAAAATTGCTAAGAGGGTAGATATGAAGTGTTTGCACCACAAAAAATAACTTTGAGAGGTACTGCACATGATACAAGTAGCTTGATTTAGCCATTCCTCGATGTATACATGTTGTACACCATAAATATATACAATTTTTACTTGTAGTTAAAAATAAATTAGGTTTAAAAAATAAATAAAGTTTTAAAAATGGTAAAAAAAAGAAGAAGAAGAAGAAAACACTGAGCAGGAGTTGAAGAGGCAGGGGGATACTCCTTCCACAGCTGCATAAAAGCAACAAACACAGTGGGAAGAAGTGGAAGGGTTGCATTTTCCTACTAAGTGGCCACGTGAGGATTGTTAGCATGAACTCTTCAGGTAAATTTTATTTCACCGATGATATTCAGCAAAGTGCACATATCATAATTGTATAGCTGTTAAAAACAAAACAAAATAAAAAGATATTGCCCCAGGTTAACAAATCTCTGTGACCAGCACCTAAATTCAGAAACAGAAGAGGATCAGAATCCCAGCATCTCTGCCAGCCCCCTGCCCCCTGTCACCCTGTAATCCCCTAAGGGGATCCCACTACCCTGACTTTGAGCATTCTGTCTCTCAAATAATGTATTTTGACTTCTAGCATCCTCCCTTCTAACTCAGTTTTGTCTGTTTTTGCATCTTATATAAGTAGAATCATGCAGTATATAGTCATTTGTGTCTGGCTTTCCCTGCTTCCCCACCTCCCCAGCAGAAATCCCACAGGAAATTAGAGTTTATAGCCATATGTGGTCGAGAATATATGCCTGATAGGTTATGACTCATAAAGATATGGTTACACAATTTAATTCTTGGTTAAAAAAATACTATGTAATGGGATCCTTCAGGTACATTTTAGTTTATCAAGAACAAAAAAGTTGTTCACTGGAGTTAAGACATTAGAGTTGCTTTGTTCCCTTTTTCTATTGTGGTGAAATAACATGAAATGTACCATTTTAAGCATTTTTAAGTGTACAATTCAATGGCATTAAGTACATTCATAATGTTGTGCAACCATCACCACTATTCACTTCTTGAATGTTTTCATCTTCCCAAAGTAAAAATCCATATGCCTTAAACAATAACTCCCTATTTCCCTCTCCCCCCAGTCCTTGGAAACCCATCTATGGATTTGCTTCTTCTAAGTCCTGCACAATAAATGGAATCATGAAATATTTGTCCTTTAGTGTCTGGCTTTTTTCACTTAGCTTAATGTGTTCAAAGTTCATCCATGTTGTAGTATGTGTCCAAATTTCATTTCTTTTTAAGGATGAATAATATTCCATTATATGTGTATATTACATTTTATTTATTCCTTCATCCTTCCATGAATATTTGGGTTGTTTCCACCTTTTGGCTCTTGTATGCTGCTATGAACAAGGTGGACAAATATCTGTTCAAGTCCCTGCTAAGATTCTGGAGATTTTGGCAGCAAGACAATTGATACACGAGGAGAAATCCCAGCTTCAACATTAGCACAGACATTAAAAATTTAGATTTTAAAAGTGAAAAAACAGTCCACAGGAAGAGACAAGTCAATATCTATATCCTATCAGCTTGATATTTAATGCAGATATTTGTTTCTACCTTGAAATTTTGATGTGGAAGATACACATTGCTCTATTGATTTCAAATCTAGTGAAAATTAATATAGCATAAAAGCCCCCTCAAAAACTATTACATAAAAATAAAGAAATATTTATAAAATGTATAAATTTTTATTATAAGATGAAAACAGTGAACAAGTCTTGTGATGATTCTGAACTCAAGCAAGTTTAAAGTCCTATTGTTTATATATATATTTCAAAAAGTTCATGGAAAAATAGAATGGAAAGATAATATAAATATTTCCATGAACTTTTTGAAGTACCTTCATATATATAGACACACACACATATTATGTGTTTTATATATATATATTTATGTATTATATTATATATACATATTATAAACCTATTATATTAAATATATACACACACATATTATAAGCATTTCAATAAATGTGTTACATAATTGCAGGTTTAATACAGATAAAATACAGAGAACTTGCATAAAGTACTTGGGAATTTCAGATAATAATATATTAAATTAAGATCAGCATAAACAAGAATAGCATCAATTTACTAGAGAAAATAGATTTATTTTATTTTAATTAATTAATTAATTTTTTAAAGCAGCTTTTCCTCTACAGTGGTTAAGCCCTTTTGAAAATTTTCACTTAGTTGAAAAGAGCTGTGAAGAATATTTTGTAAATAAGCTACATAATGCTGATTGCTAAAGATGAGTAATGCGTTTTCTTTTAGGATTAATAGTCGACAACTTTACTTAAAGTATGATGATAAAGTTAAAATAATTTTAATTAAAATAAATAAATTTATTTATTTTTACTGCATGGTCCTACAATCCAATCACCTCTAAAATAAATTAATTTAAATAAATGTTTATAAGTTCATTTTAATAAGATGTGATAACAGTTTCATCCAAATAATTAAACCCATTCATTGGCCGTCATTTTTCTTAAAGCTTAAATTTCTTGACCTGTCTCACATGCTTACCTAGAATTAGCGACATCTTCCTATCCCGCTTCCTCCCAAGCTACTCTCTCCATCTCTCTCTCTGTACTCCAGACACACATTGTCCAGTCCTTGAGGCTGCACATGCTTTCCTTACAGGAGGTCTTTTCAGGTCATTTTCCCTCTGCCATATGCAGTTGAACCCAACTATGTTTCAAAAAATGTGTTAATATCTTTAGGGAATATTCATAGGAGCCATAAGATTCCCATAATTTTTAAGGAGTATTCATAGAAAAATAAGAGACTTTCCTGATATCTTCAACCTCAGAAAATTTCCTCTATTACATTATTATAAGATTTTCTGAACTTCTTCACTAAAGAACGTAACACAGTTAGATTGAGTAATCTTTGTAAGATTATTGCACAATGTGCAATTTTAGACCTACATACTGCCCTCATTCGACATGGTATCACAAATTCCTAGCAGAGTATTTGACACACAATAGTCTTTTAAGTATTATCGAATTATGAAATAAAGGATTGAATGACTTAAAGAAGACAGATTCATAACACTGTAACCAAATTAGGAAAAAAATGATTTTTTTGCACACTGGGCAAAGCATAACTGAGAGACTCGGGTGTAACTGCTGATGAGCACAAAGGGGCTGAAAGTTGGAAAACACGATGTCACGACAACAAAACTATTCATCATCCATTGGCCGGGATTTGCAAACAAAGTCATGCTAATAGTTGAGATCGTAGAGAATGAGTAAAGGGAAACAAAGGAGCTCACTAGGATCAGGATGATGTATGTGGCTCTGGCCTCATGGGAAGGTCTGGGGGAAAGCCTGTGGCCGTGAATGTGGCAGACTCTTCTTTTGTGTCTAAGCAGGATAACGACCATGAAGATGCTTGCCCAGATCATGAAGCCCAAACTCATAATTTCAGGAGAAAAATATATGATCATATTTAAGATTTTAAAACGAATTCTCATGTTCCAGGAACAGTGTCCATAATTTGTTTTCACACTAAGATTTTTGCTATTCAATGGACCGTTCACTGTTATAGGAACAAAAGCATTTATCATGAGATGTAAGATCCAGCAGAGGCAACAGCAGAAGCCAATGAACTTTAGGGATCTCATCTTGAGTTCCAGTCTCCTACAAACACTAGAGTTGAGCTTAATGACCTGGAAGCCATTGAAGAGGCAGACAGTACTAAAGGAAACCCCTGTGGCCACTCTGTGAAAATAGAAGACAACTTTGCATCCAGCATCATTCAGGAAATATTTTAATCCAAAAGCTGCCATTGTCTGAGGAACCCCTTTAGAAAAAAGAACCAACAAGTTGGCTAAGACCAATTGCTTGAGAATCAGGTCAATGTGTCTCAACTTATATTCAGTGAGTAAAATAAAGATATAAAGACAAAGGAGAAAAGAATTTCCCAGGATTCCAATTCCAGTCTGAGTGAGAAAGATAATCCCCATTTCCAGTGTTTCAGAACCCATCCTATCCATACCGAGCAGATGTTGAATTTCATTGAAGTCAGAGGAATCAGTGGAAAAATAAATACACAAACATATTACCATTACTGTGCTGAGCAATTTTCAGTATGTAGCATAATAGTTATTTTCTTATTATAATGGACATTAAGAAAATGTGCTTCTTTGTGCAAAGGCATTTCACTCAAGACCAGTTTTGGCAAGTTTTGGAAACATCTCAATGTCATCTACCGGGGACTAAGTGAGTAAATTATCCTGCAGCTGCACAATAGAGTCCTCTACATATGTGCAGGTAAGTGTGGGGAGAACGCTGCATTCTTTTTGTTTGTTTGTTTTGGTGGTTGGCTGGTAAGGGGATCGTATCCTTGACCTTGGTGTTACCAGCACCATGCTCTCCCAAGTCAGCTAACCACCCAGCCCAAGCTCTGTATTCTGTTATAGAATTTTCTCCATGATACATTCTTAAGCAAAAAAAGCAAATGCAAAATAGTACCTACAAAGGTACTTTAAAAGGTTTGGGGAGTTGCTGCTGGCCAGCAGCTGCAGCCAGTCTGACACCCAGGGTTCCTGAGAGACGTGGGCCAGGGGTCTCAGCCCTGCTCCTGCCCCTGCACATCCAGGCCAGTAATGGAGCAGCCTAACGCCTGCCTGGGGGTCCTGAGACGGGTCATGAGCCCTAGCCCCACCCCTGCCCGCAACCAGATCCTGGAATGCGTTTATTAACCACGTGTTTCTCTGGGGTGTGTGACTTATGTAGTCATGTCCTTCACAAAATTCCTGCTTAGAGTTTTCTAATTCATTTTTAAGAGTTCTTTTTGCAATAAAGATGTTAATCTTTGTGTGTTAAAAAAAAAGTAGAGAGTAGAATAATGGTTACCAGAGGCTGGGAGGGGTGGGATGAGGGGAGATTAAGGGTGAACTAATGGTGACAAAATTATGCTGTCTACCCTAAGTGAATCATTGTGCAGTATATGCATGAGTAGAGAGTAGAATAATGGTTACCAGAGGCTGGGAGGGGTGGGATGAGGGGAGATTAAGGGCGAACTAATGGTGACAAAATTATGCTGTCTACCCTAAGTGAATCATTGTGCAGTATATGCATGTATTGAAACAGCACATGCATAAAAATATGTTTAACACCCCACAAAAATAAACATAAATAAAATTGAATTAAAAAATAAAAAGTTCGTGGAAAAATAGAATTAATAGATAATACAAATCTTTCTACAAACTTTTTTTCAAGTACCCTTTTATAGTATGCCTAATTTTTTCTATGAAAAGAGAGGAGTTATATGCTCATGTACTGAATTATATACTCAACATAGAGGCAGAGAGTATACAGGGTAAAAGAAAGCTATGGAAGCTAGACATTTTAAAGAGACATTGAGATTTAGTCTTGATTTCGTACAAATATAAATGTTTTACAGTTTACATTCCCACCAGCTATGTATAAGTGGAGGTTTTTCCATATTCTTGCCAGCATTTGGTGTTCTCACTCTTTTAAAAATAGTTTTAATAAATACTTTTCTAAATTATTTTTAATTTTAAAAATGTTTGATAGAATTACAGATTTTGTAAGAAATAATAAAGACATACTCTGTGTAACTTTACCCAAATTTCCCCAGTGGTAACATCTTGCAAAACTATAGTACAATATTACAACCAGAATATTGATACTGGTACAGCCAAAATACAAAATTGTTCTATTACCATAAGGAGTCCTAGTGTTCCTTATATACCCCCCACTCACACTTTCCCTGACCTCTGATAACCATTAATTTGTTCTACAATTTTGTCAATTCAAGAATGTTATGTAACATGTTATAAGAATCTTATAGTAGGTGATTTTGTTAATTAAATTTTTTCCACTCAGCAAAATATCATGGCAATTCATTCAAGTTGTTGCTTGTACCAATAGTTCATCTGTTTATTGTTGAGTAGTATTTCCATGGTATGAATGTACCAAATGCAAAGTTTAGTTTGCTTAACCATCTACCCATTGAAGGACATCTCAGTAGTTTCTAGTTTTTTATTATTACAAATAAAGCTACTATGAATATTTGTTTACAGGCTTTGTGTAAACACAAATCTTTATTTCTCCGGGAGAGTCTGTTGGTATAAGTGGGTAAGTAGCACAGGGATTCTTGTGATGAGGCTGTATCTTAATTGCAGTAGTGGTCACATGAATCTACACACATGGTAAAATGACATAGAACTGAACACACACACTCAAAGAAGTGAATTTAAAACTGGTGAAATCTGAATAAAGCTGCGGATTTACCACTGTCAATATACTGGTTTTGATATTGTACTATGGTGATGTATTATCACTGGGGGCAACTGGATGAAGAGCTTGTGGGGCCTCTGTACTATTTTTTGCAACTCACTGTGACTCTACAATTAATTCACAGTAAAAAACTTAAAAATGTTAAGCCAAAATGAAATTTTAAAATTCATTATATTCAAAGTTACATTTTTCAAGAGGGGCCTGATCAGCTGCATGATCTATCTGTACAGACATGAAAAATTGGAAGTGACTTAAAAACCCAGGGGGATACATTAAAGCAAAAACACCTGTACAGGAATCTTAAACTGTTGTTTATAATTATATTTTGGCAAAAATCCATTATTATTAATTTTGTGAAATGGATAAATAAGTCTATTAATGTAATTTGTGAATAAGCTTTCCATATAAGACAAAATGAATACAAATATAAAATTAAAGAATTTAAATAAAAACTCTAAATTCCAAAAAACTTAAGAGTATTAATTGATGTAGTATTTAAACATATATGTATTTCTTAACTCTTACTATTGAGAAGATTTAGATACCGTGAGCAACTCCTTCACAGTGACCACTTCTCACCCCCAGATCATGGTCTTCAAATGCCATTTTTCTTTTCTTTTCTTATTGAAACATAATTGATTGTACATAGCTGTGCAGTACGGCATCGAATATCAATACCCGTGTGCAGTATGTGATGCTCAAATCAGAATAATTAGTATATTCAACATTATACAATGTAATCATTATTTTTGTGGCCCTTTACCAATTTCTTGCAAACTTCTCTCCTTCTCCCCCTTTCCCACCTCTGTTGGCCTCAGTTCTATTCTCCCTTTTTGAAAGTTCAATACATTACTGTATTGTTCTTTCTCTCTCTTTCTTTTTCCTCCCTCCCTCCCTCCCTCCCTCCCTCCCTCCCTCCCTCCCTCCCTCCCTCCCTCCCTCCCTCCCTCCCTCCCTCCCTCCCTCCCTCCCTCCCTCCCTCCCTCCCTCCCTCCCTCCCTCCCTCCCTCCCTCCCTCCCTCCCTCCCTCCCTCCCTCCCTCCCTCCCTCCCTCCCTCCCTCCCTCCCTCCCTCCCTCCCTCCCTCCCTCCCTCCCTCCCTCCCTCCCTCCCTCCCTCCCTCCCTCCCTCCCTCCCTCCCTCCCTCCCTCCCTCCCTCCCTCCCTCCCTCCCTCCCTCCCTCCCTCCCTCCCTCCCTCCCTCCCTCCCTCCCTCCCTCCCTCCCTCCCTTCCTTCCTTCCTTCCTTCCTTCCTTCACTCCGACTTACGAGTGAGGACATGCAGTGTTTCGCTTTCTGTGCCTGGCATATTTCACTTAGCATGATTTTCTCTAAGTTCATCCATGTTGCTACAGATGACAGAATTTCATTCTTTTTTATGGTAGAGTAGTATTCTGTTGTGTACATATACCACATTTTCCTTACACAGTTGTCCAGTGATGGTTATTTAGGTTGTCTCCAACTCTTGGGTATTGTAAATAGAGCTGCAATAAACATGGGAGTGCAGGTATCCTTTCCACACGATGATTTCCATTCCTTTAGGTATATACCCAGCAGTGGGATTGCTGGATTATAGGGCAGTTCTATCTGTAGTTGTTTGAGGAACCTCCATATTATTTTCCATAGTGTCTGCACTAATTTACAGTCTCACCAACAGTGTAGGAGGGTTCTCCTTTTGCTACATCCTTGTCAGCATTTATTATTCTCTGTCTTTTGGTTAACGGCCAGTCTAACGCGGGCGAGATGATATCTCACTGTAGTGTTGATTTGCGTTTGCCTGATGCTGAGTGATGTTGAGCATTTTGTCATGTGTCTTTTGGCTTTTATTTGTATACCTTCCTTTGAGAAGTGCCTATTCAGCTCCTTTGTCCAGTTTTTAATTAGACCACAACAGGCTAAAACTAGAAATCAATAACAAGCGAAACTCTGGGAACTATGCAAATACATAGAAATTAAACAACATGCTCCTGAATGACCTATAGTACAAGAGGAAATTAAACAGGACATCAAAAAAATCCTTGAAAATAAAGACACCTCATACCAAGACCTGTGGAATACTGCAAAAGCAGAACTAAGAGGGAAGTTTATCGCAATAAACACTTATATGAAAAGAATAGAAAGATTTCAAATAAATAACCTAATGCTACCGAATCCCAAAAGTAGTAGATAGAAAAAATAATTAAGATCAGAACAGAACTGAATGAAATAGAGACCCCCAAAATGATACAACAGATCAATGAAAGAAAAAGTTGGTTTTTTTGAGAAGATAAACAAAATAGACAAACCATTAGCTAGGCGAACTAAAAAAAGAAGAGAGAAGACCCAAATAACAAAAATCAGAAATGAAAAAGGAGACATTTCAACTGATACCACGGAAATATAAAAAATCATTAGAGACTATTATAAACAACTATATGCCAACATATTTGAAAACCTGGAGGAAAGGGACAAATTTCTGGATACACACATATACTAAGACTGAATCAAGAAGAAATAAAAAACTTGAACAGACCAATAACAAGCAACGAGATTGAAGAAATAATCAGCAGTCTCCCAGCAAAGAAAAGCCTAGGACTGGATGGCTTCACTGCTGATTTCTACTAGACCTTTAAAAAGGAATTAATACAAATTCTCTTCAAACTATTCCAAAAAAATTGGAATAGTTTCTCCCAAACTCATTCTGTAAGGCCAGCATCACCCTGATACCAAAACCAGAGAAACATACAACAAAAAAGAAAACTACAGGCCAATATCTTTGATGAACATCCACTTAAAGAG